AGTATACTACAACATCCTATGGTGCACATACAACCTTGAATACCTTGCATCTATGTTTTCACTAATTATACATGCAAATGATTTCCAAGGTATTAAACCTAAAACTAGCATGCATTTGATATAAACCATATAAAATACTAGTTAGGATAACATACCTTTTTGATGGAGCTTAAAGTCTTGATGTATTTGGCCTTAAATAGCTTAGCCTCAATAATGTGGAAGCCTCAAGTGGAATCACATCACACCATGGACAAAGAATGAACTTGAGAGAGAATTCCAAGCACACCAAAAACACCACCAACTCCAAGAATACACTTGTTCTCATTTTTGGATAATGAAGTATGCATTTATATGTTGGATTTCAAGGGTCATGGGTATAACCCAAATCCATACCCATGGGTTTTATGATCCATGGTTCATGTGGCCCAACTCTTTATGTATCCATACATAAACTTAGTCCAACATGGATCATAAGCCCAACACATATAAATATAACTAATTAACATAATTAGTCCCCATATATTTAATTAGTCTCTTTGGATCACTAAATTAATTCTAAATTAATTCTTGATCAATACTAATTAACTCATATGATTTAATATTAATATGTTATAACTTATAATGTATTAATAACTCATATATAACCTCTTCTCTAAGAAGTCTATCCTAACAAATTGTCTTGATGATATGCAACCAAAATGGACCATGCTACTCTCGGGTCAAGTACATACCAATAATAGTTATGGGCTTAGACATCTAATCCAACATATTATTGGCCAACAGTGAAAAAGGATGCCTTCTTACACGCACAAAAATGTGAAGCTTGTCAAAGACATGGCAACATCCTTCATCAACCGGAAAAACCTCTACACCTATCATCTCCTTTTGTTTCCTCGTGAAATTAGGAATGGATATAGTTGACAAGTTACCAAAGGTTCTTGGTAGAAACGTCTTCAAGTTAGTAATGACATAGTATTTTTCAAAATGTATAGAGGCTGAATACTTTTTTCAAGTAAGTGACAAGGAAGTAGTCTCATTCATCAAATGCAATATCCTGACCAGATTTGGGATCCAACCGAAAACATATGTGATAACGAATTGCAATTCAAAAGCATAAGAACTATCGACATTTTCACTAGTTGGGGAATTAAAATGATAATTTCTGCTATTGTTCACCATCAAGGTAAGGGTCAAGAAGAATCTAGAAATAAGAGCATAGTCAACAATTTGAAGAAAAGGCTAGATGAAAAGAAAGGAAGATGGGTTGAAGAACTTCCTTTCGTCCTTTAGGCGGATAGGACTACATAAAAAGTAGCCACATTCCAAACCCCATAATCCTTGGTGTTTGGAACAGAGTCTGTGATCTCTACTAAAGTAGTGATCCCAACAACAAGATGAAAATTCCAAAATTAGAACTATGACGATGAGGTCATAGCCCAGGATCTCAACACTATCGATGAACTTACGGATCTTTCAGGATCCACCTTGCTGCTCATCAAAAAAAGGATCACCAAAGCATACAAAAAAAACATCAAAGTCATAAGATTCTTGGAGGTGACTTGATCCTTAGGAAGAATTCCAAAAAGCAAGGATCCTAATTCAAGCAAGTTGGCACCCAAATAGGAAAGGCCATATCTTATCAATTCAAAAGCATGAAAGGGAGCATATTGATTGGAAACTCTAGAAGGAGACATCTTGTTATGATTTTGGAATGCCATACACCTAAAAGTGTATTTCACATAAGCTTAATCTTTCGTTTTCCATCAAGATTCAAGGTACACATTCTTTACCCTTTATTTTTGTCTAAATTATTTTATTTTTTCTAAAGAAGACCATTACTGACTTAAGTATCGGAGGGGTGTTAGCTAGGCTAACGCCTACCCTAAGCTAACCTTTGCAATTTGCAAAAATTCAAGGATTCTAGTCACTATGAATTAAGACAGAGCATCTCCCCTACGATTAAGGGTACTTAATCCCCTCTAAAGTTTTAAGAGTTAATGACCTCTTTCTCATGAGTTTAGGTTTCTACACGTCACTTGGACGCACGATATTTTACTATGGCATATGAGTAAGGGGATGACTTCATGCTTTAATAACTTAGCTATCCTCATATTGCTGAACATGTGTTCAGGTCCTAACTTTTGATCTACAGTTTATAACATTGTGATGTTATCATAAGTTGGGATCTTAACCAATTATTTTCTAAGTTGGGATCCTCCCTAGTGAATTTCTTATGTTGGGATCCTCCCAAGTGAATTCCTTAAGGTGGGTTATTTCCCAGTTACTTGTCTAAGTTGGGATTTTCCCTCATTTTTCTTAAATATTGGATTTTTTTCCAAGCAGAAACTAAATAGGGATTTTCCTAGCAAATTCCTAGGTGGAATTATCTTGAGAGGGATCCTTCCTTATACAAACTCCAAGATCACATGGAACTGGAGGACTTAAAAAACGAAATTTTTTCTAAGTTAAAAGGCATCAAAATGTCAAAACTAAACCTAAGGATCATCAGATGATTAACCATCTCATATAATTAAGATCCCAAGAGTTCTCGTAAAACCTTAACTCTTTAGGATCCTAATCATATAGGGATCCTTAGAATACCTAATTTAGTTGCTAAACAAAGTGTGCAGAAAAGGTTTGAAACTCAAACCTTGAATTAACTTAAGATCATTGTCTACTAGTAATGAGGATTTAGACAAGTCTGGTAAACCAGTCTTGTCTCGAAATATAAAAGAATCAACAAAGTTCTCAAAAGTATAAAAAGATTAAGTATGAATAATGTAAAGCTATTCGAGAATAATAAGAATGTTAGATAGAATGATTGACTGGATAATTCTTGATTGATGTGAAAAAGGTGTATATTCTACTTACTTAATACAAAGGTGACTACTCCTTAAATAGCCAAAGAGTAACTAAAAGACAAACTTAAAAAGAAAGCATGGACTATTAGACATCTGAAGATCAATAGACTGACACAGTGACTTTTGCTGATCTTGTCTCATGCACTCTACTATCAACTAATAAGAACAAAACAAAATAGTACTTGGAAAAATAAAATCTCATTACATATGTTGAAACATTCTATCCCTAAGATGCATTTCAGGCTCGTTTTCGAATTCGGAATAGCCTGCATTTTAGAAATCATCATCTCAAACTTTCCAACCACATTGTATTGCATAAGGATCATTTTACATGTTCTATCAATCTCCCCTTTTGTAACCTTTACGGCCATCCAACTTATGACTTTGTTTTGTCAAACACAAATATGTAGGCACTCTAGATCCAGCTTTGGACTTTGATATACCATTTGATATGCTTAATAAATTTCTTCTTGATGTGCTCGTAAGAATCAATCTTGGCAAAATTCGAAATGGACTTTTGAAGAAACTTGGTAGGAATGAGATGTGTTTCAAGCACTCTGAAAAATTCCATTTGATTAGACTTCTTCTTGAGGTAGACATCACTAGGTTTTGGTTCTTCTTTTGGTCCTTCTATTAAGATCTGGGCTTCGGGTAGTTTGGTAGAGATCTTGGCCAAAAAAATTTCCATTTCAAAGATATGAGAGAACTCCACATCAGATCGACAGAATTTAGTGATATAGTCCTTCAAAAAGAAGATAGCAGAGTTGTAAGCTCTAATGCTCGATTTGTTTGTTTACGATCTTTGAGGTGAGCAGCTATGACAAGAATGTTCATTTGGATTCACTGAAGGGGAGTCTGCATCAGTGATGGTCATTTTGGATTCTTTGTTCCAAGATATGTAGTATTTGTATAGAAGATAGTCAATATAAAATTTGCTTTGGACCTTTTTACCATGACCAACTATTTTGGTAATTCGCTTCTGAGACCACACCTTCTTTAGGGAATGTGTGTTGGTAGACTAAAAGGTTATTAATTTCTGAACATCAGTTCATATGATGATTTGAGGATCATCAGTTAGATGTAGGGGTGCTACCTTGATATAATAGTGTCCATATGGAGATATTGGTAGGTCTAGTTGATTAGCATCTTGAGTTGGGAGATAGAAATACATAAAGGGAAATAAAATGTATATCATGAAGAATCCCTTCCTGAAAGAGAGGAGAAATGTCCATCATCGGATTTGGATTGTCCTAAAGAGTTTGAATCGGAATGCATTCTTCCATTGCTTGTTGTAATTGTTCCTTTGACCAGCATTCAGATTTTTTTAACGACTTCATTAGGCTGTCAAAATCAATGACCATTCCTTTTCCTTTTTCTGAAAGATCAACTTGATATGAGATGGAGGAGATGATTTTTTTATCCAGATTCAGTAACGAATAGCTCGGATGGAAAAGGAAGCAAGGACTCATCAAGAATCTCATCCGATTTTCTGATTGGAGAACCTTGGATGTGACGGTCCTAAGTCTGATGCAAGCACTGTAGAGGATTTGAGATCACTTAAGCGTTCAAAATCTCATTGAAATCTTGTGTTGATTTGCTTAGAAAGTTAATCATATGCTTCGGCAGTGGGAGCTTGAGCTTTGAGGTGATTGAAGATTTCATCAATGATATAAAGAATTTCATCCAACTTGTAGTTCGGAACATCAAGGTGATGTTGAGCTACACGAATGACTTTGATAAGAACTTCTTGAATAACCATGTTTACGGAGTCTTTGTGAAAAATATCTTTCTCCAACCTCTGAATTTTTTTTCCTATTAGACGTGATTTTGCTTAATCAGAGTGTTGGTGGAGGAAGCATGACATAGTAAACTTTAAGCATAGTGGTGGTTGTGGAGGTATGATAATATATGTTTTCCTTGTAATGTGATTCAACATCTTCAAGAGTGCGACTCAAATGATGTGAGATAAGATGATTCAATTGATTTGCATGATTAAGTTCGGAAAGAGCATCAACTTTAATCTCAGAAGGTGATTTAAGCACCAGGTCAACTTTTGACTCAAGGCCTGCAACTTGTTGAGTGAACTTGTTGAGTGACCTTATCTCGGAGTTACAGCAATGCAAATGGATATGCAATGTTTTAGTCAGAGGAACCAATATCCATATTGGAACTTTCTGACTTACGATAAACATCGTCCTTTCTCTTATCATAATTGTGTAGAGCTTCTTGAGTAGGAGAAGCTTGATGACATTCAGGTGTGATTTCTGGAGGAGGAGCAACAACATCATCGTGCTTAGGTGCAACATTTTCATCAAAAGCCTCCGAGGATGGAGTGATTCCGAAGTGGAAATAAGCTTTGGAGGAAGAAGGTTTTCTGAAAAATGTTGAGCGAAGTGCGAACAGGAATAACACCAAAAGTTGTATTGTTATCTTCAAAAAGAATTTCAACTGAGACTTCATCATCACTATCAAGAGTAGAAATATCTTGAACACTCACAACCTTTGGAGGAGGATCATCTCATACATCGGTTTGCTCAGGAACATCTCCTATGTCATCATCATTGCCTTATGGAGAAACGATAGGAACACAAACTTCAGAACAATGGATCACCTTGACTGCATCGATAGAAGGTGGATGTTATTAATGCATTTCTTCATTTGATGTATACCATAAAGGGATACGCCTGCTGATTTCTAGTTAGCATATCAAAATAAGCATGTATTTAACTTGTTTTCTTGAGAGCTTTGAATACATTGTATGAGCCCTTTCAATAAAATATGACTAATCCTTATAAAAAAATACACGATCGTCCTATACCTAAACCAAGCATCAGACCAGTTATGGATTTCGAAATAGGTGGAACTGCTCCTGCTTTGGAAAGCTTGGAATCAGTTACAAGGGCCACTGATTATGCTTGTGTTGAAGAGAAAGGGATGCTTAAATTGACTCGTGACTGTATCCCAAGGGGCTCCAATGTACTTTGTTCAATACAACCACCACCTTTTAGAGAAAATGAGGGCATATAATGTGGAGACTCTCTGGGTATATGTCTAAGTGATTTTAAAACTCCGAAGGGTACTTCAGAAGAGTGGTCGGGTAGGGTAGGCTGAGACCCAGAGTTAGGTTAAATGTCGTTTCTGAATCCTTCTGAGAGGATTCACCAACTTTGGTTCTCTTTCTAGCTTTAAATTTGGAGGGGGATGATTTTCGCTTGGCAATCTATTTCACTCTACCTTCTCAGGCAGCACGTCTATTCTCTTTCAAGGTCGTATCATCCAAGACTGGGGCAAGTTGTGTTGGGTCGAACACAACCAAGGCCTAAAGATGGTTTTTTAGGTTAGGTGATTCGGAAGGAATAATGCATAACATGTGGTCAGGTAAGTGTCTTACAGGTCCGAAAGTATCTTAACTAGGCAACCTATAAGTTTTGATAGTCTTGAAAGCACAATGTGCCTCTCGGATTTCGAAGTTTAGTGGATTTGCTTCATCTATCTTGGAGTAAATTTGTTGTAGAGTCAGAGCCGAAAATCTGATACTTGGATCTCGTTCGGTTTGCTCTTGAAAGAAAACTTTATGAAATCTTGGCACAGCACCTCCGGTAGATCAACAACGTTGGTTTTTCCAGTGAAAATGTTGTACACCAAATAAAGCTAGTATTTGCTCATGGTGTTTGTACCACCATATATTCCTAACAAACCCCCTAAGAATGAATTGCATTAATATAGTCCATAAACCAGGAATGGCTGACTTCTTAAACTCCTTAGCCTTAAACTCACCATTATAGCCAATTTGAGTCAAGAACGACTAGAACTCTTTAGATGTTGATTTCTACACTTGAAAACCTTTAGAGTTTTCTATAATTCCAATCGTTTTAAGAAAGGTAGGCTTGTGGACTGGCATAATCCTATCATCAGTAATCATCACTTCAAGAACACCATATCCGATATTCACTCTTTTGAAGGATTTGATAAGAAGCCTAATAGGGAAATTAGGGTTAGGTATTTTGGCAAGATGGCCAATAATGGGATGGCAGGAGATGAACTTAATCATGATTCTTATAGACTCATCATAATCTATCGAGTTAAGAGAGAACAACTAGGTTGTTTTTCTAAGAATGATCTCAGTAGAGGAAGATAAAGCTAACCCTTTAGAGATTTTCTTCTTGGTTGTAGGTTTTGAAGATTTGGCAGCCACATAAGATGATTTGTAAGCCATTGTATGAAATGAGAGAAAGCCTGAAGAACAGAGAATGGAAGAGAAACGTTCTGAGAAGACTATAGCCCAAGTGAAAAGTAGGAACACTTAGGATTCAAAATCCTTATATATGTTGGAAGTTTCGAGTTAGGTCGAAGATTGAATTGATGACACTCGAAAACCATAATGGGTTGCATTTAACGCATAGCCCATAAGGGCTTCCTATGTGACAGTTATTATTTAAAGGATTAGACTTTTGTTTGATCAATTTGGGAAAACCATTGATTCAGTTTAGCCTACTGATGCTTTATTGGAACGTGTGCCAAAGACGTGGTTATTGAAAATTAAGAGGATAATCATAAAAGAAATTATCTTTAGGATAATCATGAGAAAACATTTCGTAATTAAAAGTTTAATGATAACCTTCAAACTTATTTATTGCTAAGAATTTTGGAACACTCAGATTCCAAGATGGAAAATCATTATATGCTTCAAAAAAGAAATAAATTCATCATTGGGACATGATATATATTTAGAGATGGTACAATCTCTAAATGAATATCATATGTAACAATGCAAGAAGATCTTAGAGGAAAAGTTTTGGGGAAAAACTTTTGAAATTCTAAGAACTGAAGGAACAGAAGTCGGAAAGAGACAAGTACAAAATCACATTACAATGTCAGATTTGAATTCCAATGTGTACTTCAGAGAAAAACATTTTGAGGAAATTCATTCAAGATATCCAATGTGACTATATCCGATGAAAATTCAAGTAAAACAGTATGCTATGAATCATAAAACTAGAAGAAAAGTTTAGACAAAAATACATATAATGATCCTTTATTTTTCGAGAAGAAAAAATTTTGAGGAAGAAAAGTTTTAATTTAAAATTATTTGAGTTTTTAATGTTTCCATTAGAACGTACAGACTTCTTGGAAGAATTGAGGATCAGACATTATCATTCCTATTTTGTTTAGAAACCCATTGTATTTGGTTTCATATAATGCCTTAGTAAAGACATTAGCAATTTCATCGTCGGATGCAACAAAAATGAGCTAAATATTACCTTATAGAACATGAATAAGGTGGTACTGAATATCAATGTGATTTGTCATGAAGTGTTGAATTGGATTGTGAGATATCGCAATTACACTTTGAAAGTCATAATAGATAGGAATTTATTGAAATTGGTAACCATAGGTCAGAAGCTGATATTTCATCCATAAAACTTGCGAGGTGCAACTTGCAACAACAATGTATTCTATTTTGGCTTTTAAAAGAGCAATGCAACTATGTTTCTTCGATGACCAGTTAACCAATCTTCAACACAAAAATTTACAACCACCATATGTAATTTTTCTATAAAGTTGAAGTCCTCTATACTTTGAGTCGGAATAAGCTTGAAGAAGGAAACTATCATTTGTATGATACCAAATTCTGAGGTTCTTAATTACTTTGAGATGCTGGAAGATTTGCTTAGCCGCCAAAAGACGAGATATCTTCGGATTAACCTAGAATCTAGCACATAAACATGTTAAGAACATGATGTTGGGATGACTTGCAGTGAGATAGAGTAGTGATCCATTCATTCCCCTATACTTCTTCTCATCTACTGCAACACCAGATTGGTCAAAGCATATTTTGTAACCAAAACCCATTGAAACTTTTGCATAAGCAAATGTATCAATATAATATTTCTTTAGAAGTTCGGAAATGTATTCTTCTTGATGAATGAAAATTCCTCTATTGGTTTGTATGAATTACAATCCGAGGAAGAAACTTAATTGCTGATTCATACTCATTTGGAATTGACTAACCATCAGTTTTGAAAATTCTATAAAATATTGTTGGATCAATTGACCCAAATATAATATTGTCGACATAGATTTGAACTAGCATTACATGTTTACCGTTTGTTCTTTGGAATAATGTGAGATCGAGAACTCCTCTTTGAATAACGGAATGCTTCAGAAAATTAGTGAGAGTCTCGTACTAGCACGAGGATCTTTCTTGAGGCCATATACATCTTTTTGAAGTTTGTAACAGTAGTTCGAATATGAATGATTTACAAACCTAGGAGGATGTTGAATATATACTTCACTATCAAGTTCACCATTGAGAAAAATACTCTTGACATCCATTTGGTAAACTTTAAAGCCTTTGTGAGCAACATAAGCAAGAAAGATTTGGATATTTTCAAGGTGTGAAACATGAGTAAAGGTCTCATCGTAGTTAAGTCTTTCATTCTGAGTAACTCCTTTATTCACCAATTATGCTTTATTTTGGATTATAATTCTAAAATTATCAAGTTTGTTTCGAAATACCCATTTTGGACCTACAATAAGGTGATTTTAAGGAGAAGGGACAAGAGTCCACACTTAATGTTTGTCAAATTCTACTAAATCTTCTTGCATAGATCTAATCTGATTGGAATGTTCTACAACTTCTTTGATGGATTTGGGTTTAACCATTTATATGAATTTCGGGAAGTGAAAATCATTTTGAATGTTAGTAGCAGAGTGAGTTTGAACTCCAGCTTTGAGATTTCCATTGACTTGACTAAGAGGATGCTCCTTTGTCTAGAAATGCAATCTCGGAAGTTCCTGAGAAGCAAATGATCTGATGTCAATAATGGGGTTGTGTTGATCCCCCTGAATAACTTGCATTTGACGACGATGCTCCCCCTTAACTTCTGAACTGGATATGTCAGCATCGTCAAAGTCTGGAAAGTCAATGAATTGACATCATCTTCATTGATGTTCGGACATGGATCGATGAATTAATCTGTTGCATCTTGAAATCCATCTACATTTTATTCAAGGGTTAGGTTGCTATTCTCCCCCTCAACTGCAAAAGGTTGAAAAATATCATAATCAAATGTAGGAAATGTTGGGGTCGGACTGGAAACATTTTGAGAAGTCGGAATGTTAGAGGAGGATGGTCTTGATTGAGATTCCAAATCAAGAGTAGTTTCTATTGGTCCAAAAAAAACATTCCAATCATTCATTGCATCATATGGTTTTATGTTGAGATGACAAATTGATGATGCTTTTATTTTGAGTGAAGCAAGTTGTAGAGACAGCTTCAGCCCAAAGATATAGAGGAAGATTTGGAAAGTTCAACATTAACCGAGCGACTTCAACAAGAGTTCGATTTCTTCTTTCAGCAACACCATTTTTCTGAGGAGTGTATGGATTAGAGAAATAGTCTTCAATGCCTTTGTGGGTAAGGAACTTTTTAATTGTGACATTTGTGAATTTGGATCCAT